AGCAGCTTGGATGTGGCTCTTGTTGACTTGCAGTGTTCTGTTCAGTGTCTGGGCACATAACCTGCTGGTTATGTGTCATTAGATGAAGCTCTGAGGAATGCTGCATTACGTTTTATTTGCTTAGGAGAAGGTAACATGTATGTATACAGCATTGTGAAGGAAACATATATACAGATAGAACTTCCTGTGTATCATAGACAAGCATACATATGCATAGAGACCAATTCTGCACCACAGCGCCATCTTGTGGCCCAAAGATGTACTTACAGTAGATGCAGGTGTATTGCCAACATAACCTACACGTAATAGGCTGAGCCGCTTATCATAGAAGTGATTGGCTAAGGTCTGGGCCAAGCTGTCCCATATAGATGTGATTGGCCAAGGACTGGGCAAAGCTGTCCCTATAGAAATTAATAGACCAGGTCTGGGCCAAGCTGTTCCCTAGTGAAGTGAATGGTCAGGGGCTGGGCCCAGCTGTCACTATAGAAATGAATAGACAAGGCCTGGGCCAAGCCACCCCCTATAGAAGGGACTGGCCAAGCCACCCCCTATAGAAGGGACTGGCCAAGCCACCCCCTATGGAAGGGACAGGCCAAGCCACCCCCTATGGAAGGGACTGGCCAAGCCACCCCCTATAGAAGGGACTGGCCAAGCCACCCCCTATAGAAGGGACTGGCCAAGCCACCCCCTATGGAAGGGACTGGCCAAGCCACCCCCTATGGAAGGGACTGGCCAAGCCACCCCCTATGGAAGGGACTGGCCAAGCCACCCCCTATGGAAGGGACTGGCCAAGCCACCCCCTATGGAAGGGACTGGCCAAGCCACCCCCTATGGAAGGGACTGGCCAAGCCACCCCCTATGGAAGGGACTGGCCAAGCCACCCCCTATGGAAGGGACTGGCTGGATGCTGGGCCAAGCCACCCCCTATAGAAGGGATTGGCCAAAGCATGGGCCCAGCTGGCCCGATAGAAATTAATAGAAAAGGTCTGAGCCAAGCTGTCCCCCATCGAAGTGAATGGCCAAGGTGTCCCCCATCGAAGTGAATGGCCAAGGTGTCCCCCATCGAAGTGAATGGCCAAGGTGTCCCCCATCGAAGTGAATGGCCAAGGTGTCCCCCATCGAAGTGAATGGCCAAGGTGTCCCCCATCGAAGTGAATGGCCAAGGTGTCCCCCATCGAAGTGAATGG